TACATTACTATCGTTATATCATCCTTATCGTACCACACTAGATCGTTTCATTGTCTTAAACGTGCAACTAATGCCAACATTGAATAGGATTTCATTTAACATTAAAGTTCAAAGCATCAAAATAATTATGCCAGATAATATAAAAGCTTCAGTCGTAAAGATATTGTATTCTTAACTATAGTAGGATAGTAGCGTTTATAAGTGGACATTACATTTTTCGGTCATATAATTCCCATCAATTGCGCACTACTATAATATAACGATATCAACACGTTTACATAAACAGGGCCATTTCGTCAATTAGTGCTATACAAACAGTTTATAATCTGTTGTGAATGACACCTATATCAACCGCCAAAGTTGTTCCACTCTATTGATAAAGCAGGTTATTGCATTTTTCATTAAAAATGAATTAAAAATGCCTAAGGAGCTAAAGATAATGTTATGCAATCTTTTTCGTTTGTTTGGCAGAGCGGGGTCTGTTGAGACACAGGGTCAAGTGCACCACCACCATGTAATCGATATTTACGAGTTGGTGGTATATGAAACGATGGGACGAGGGATATTACAATGGCTTTCTTAATTTCTAGGATATTTAAATAATAATTATGTATGTAAACAATGTTAACAAGTTTATTGACACAACGATTTCAAATTACCATAAAAGATAGTTCGGTGCCACAGAACGTGTTAAGGTTAGTGAAAATATTTATGCCACGGAATTGGAACACCAGTCGTTAAAACTAGATAAACAAAGCTTTGCGAAACATTTGTTTTACTTTGAGTATGCCGGCGAGTGCAGATTAGACAATTAATTGTATTAATTACGTTTACGTCGTTATCCAACGAGAGCAATGACCCGTTATTCTAAACTAATAACCTATGATAATAGACGAAGCGTGTGAAACAATTCGTACACGTATATACTACTTGTTAATTCAAATAAAATTGTTTTTTCTAAGTATAAGGGATCATAGGTGCCATCTTCGACTCTTAATTCTGCAATGTTTTTCGGGACTATACTTTTTTCAATGAAGTAGTGTTGCAACGAATCGGGAAAAAACATGGAATATTAAAAACAATAAAAACGAGAAAGAGTACCTTGGCCAAATAATGAGAGGCAAAAAATATCAATTATTACAGTTAATTATACGAGGGCAGATACAAGGAAAAGGAATCCAGGAAGAAGACATACATCTTGCCTTAAAAATCTGCCATCACCATCACAATAACCAGCTCACTATACATCCCCACCGAGGGACTCGGAGCCTACACTAATAAGGGGGGACTAGGCCACAGTCAACCACGCTGGCCCAGTACGGGTTGGTTGACTTTATACATATTTTTGAATTTCTTCGCCGAAATGTGCAGGTTGCATCACGATGTTTTCTTTCGTCGTAAGAACATCGGATAAATTATGTACATATGAAAAATCGAAAATCACATTGGTACACGGCGGTATTCGAACCTAAGACCTGTAGATTACAAGTCAAGTGCTTAAACCACTGAGCCGGCAACGCTCAAATCTGCCTAAAAAATTGCGCCTGTGGTTAAATAAAAGCACACGTTCCTTATTAAGAGCAGCAGTGTGAAAGGTTCAAGTCATAATGGTTGCCCACCTCCGTTAGAAGATGGCCCATTTAATTTTCCTTGCTGACTTTCTAAAGTTGAAATAAATAGCATTAAATGTGGTTATTTTAATTTAACGACTTAATCCTACCAAAGATTAGATATTTTCTATGTAGTCTCTAGATCTGCGCTTTCGTGTTATATATTTACATAAAATTTTACGTTTTACTAGATAAACGGTTCGACCACCCTCGTTATCTATAATAAACCACCCGGACTTTTGCATTATATCTCTGTCCTTACGTTGACCGGTGTCGGTTGATCGTAGCGCACGCACGAATTAATGCATTGAACTCGAATCGATTGATAAGCGGCTCTTTTAATTATTATTGTGTTACCTATAAAAACTGATAGCTTGTAAATTATATAATCAACTTGTGGTCATTAAATGATACGAGTCAACGTTTGCAGTACAGGCAGAGTTAGAAAGTGCGTGCACCCAGAAGTCGTTATACTATGCAAGTGATACGAAGCAACTACACTTATGATATAAAGCAGATTAACTATTGAGTCAGTGGTGGTTATTCTGCGGTAGATCGAAACACTTCATGAAGTTAATTTGTTCAGTTCCATCGACTTCGTAGTTCCCTTTTATACGGATAAACTACTGATTTTTGAACGCTAAGTCGAAGTTCAGGGTATTTCTTATTAAAAATAATAGATTATTCAAAGCACTTGATTTTGGTTAGGTAAAGATAGTAAGGATTAAGAGTGTACTGCGACGTTAAGTCCGACTAAGCATAAAACCATTACTGTCAATTCTTTATAAAGATTCTTCAGTTATCTTTCATCCAATTTTTGATTTATCAACGCAGTTATGCCTGTTTTTACTAAAGGAATATTTGTTCTAATTCCTACTCTCATTATTTGTATTTGCTTATAATTATAACATTACATAAATACATCGCGATGTATAATTTGAGAATCAAAGCACATAATAACAAGCAGACCTAAAATTCTGCGCATTCCCGATATTATACTACAATGTTTACTTGTTTATATTAAATTTTATACAAATTTGCACTATGCGTTGATTAATGAGTTCATCATTTCGTTCTACCTATTTTGTTTATCATATAATTTTTAAACATAACTATTGAATATCGCTTTCTTTACATATAAAGTTCAAACCTCGGGTTAGGAACCTATAACAGACAATGGGTTGGTGATAATAGTACCGATTGCTATCCGCAACCTTGAACAAACTTGGCATCTAGTAAATTAGTGTATAGAGACGGTTCCTTACTTAATCTTAAGGATTATTATTAGGTCGATGGAAGTTATGTCATAAGCTTTCACAGCCATGATGTATTATCCAATTATTTTAGGAGACCATCTGGATTGTATGTTAAGTATTTTATTATAATTATAGAAAAAATATTATCTGGTAAATACCAAAGCTATACATACCATGGGGAAGTGTGTCAGTACAGTGATATGGTGTTGTCGTTTAGCGAGCGCTTCAATGAGCCGGCCGTACATTGCGTAGTGGCTTCTAGTGTTGGTGGGCAGCACTGCCAGGAGGCGGGCAGCGTGCGCCGCCGCACAGAGTACCACCAACAGCCAGAGCGACCGCGCCTGCATCTCACTGCCGTCTGCCGCGGATTGCATTCTCGCCGACCGAGCCCGCCGCAGCCGCGTGCACCTTGCACCGATAACGGATGACGTTGTCCAACAAATGCCACGCACCAAACTGCGTGTCACACCATCTAACCTTTACCTCTCTCTCAACAAGACTTTCAGGCGACAGTACCACTGGTTCCTCTTCCAACGAAGTTGGTTCGGTAGTACAAGATTTTTCGTCTTCCATCAATGTTCCAAGATTTGTGATACATGTGTAACATTCTTTCAACTCGTTAGATGAAATATTAATTATGTACTCATATTTATGTGGACCAGTGATTTATCAACTTTCTTATTGTAAGTGCAATTTCTCGGCGTGTAACTAGCATGATGTGTCCGTATTTAAGCTAATAAGTTACAATCCAATACGACTTTTTCCCTCAAAGTAACTAATTCTAATCAAATAACAATTATCCTTTGTCGCTTATTTAAATTTTCTAATATTTTTATTACTACGATAACACGAAATTCGTGTCATATTATGTTATTCGAAACAATATAAAGTGTGATTCAACTGAAATATTTTGGACTTTACAAGTTGCAGCTTGAAAAATATTCTATTCTTTATAGTGAAAAATAATTTCGATTTTGCATAGATCGAAATGTTGTAGTAGGTCGTGAATGAACTTGAAAATGTCGGATTGCACGTAGGTATGTCTTTCATTATCTTATTTTATTTCTCTTAATTGGTAGAACGCTATCTGTTGCTAAGAAGTCGTGTATCACACCACTGTTGCATTTACTGAACGAATCCGGTTTATTTCAATTTATTAAAAATACAACTGTTTATTTTTTTTTACCTTGCCGAAATTTTATGCTCTATGCATCTTAGAATACTATGCCTGATGCGTTTAAGTTTAGACACATCTTTTCCAACGTCTATCACGAGGTAATGGTGAAAGGTCTTTAACTTAACGAAGTTGAACATTTTCTAAATTTTCGAGAGATCATACTTATTTTGAAACATTTCTCCATTGAAAATAAAATCATCAAAAGACGCGGAGCATAGCAACTTTACATGTTTTAGCTTTGTATCAAAACTTATAATATCTTTTGAGCAATGTAAGGAAATAACTAGGATATAATATTGTATTTTCCGATACTGATTGCTCATTAATTACATAAAATGTTCAGCGATATTTACGCGCTGTTTATATCAATCTAGAATTATTAACAAGAACTTGATTAGAAATAAGAGTCTTGTGACATAACTGTTTATCGTTCTTAATAAGTATTTATCCAACTCCGTTACCAAGAACCGTTCATATTGTTTACTTCTAATAAAATTAAGAGAAACATCAATCAATATTTTCCCAGATTTTGTTTTCTGGGAAGTGCAAAAGTCAAACATTTCTGGGCTAGTATGGGTTCATTAATTTGAAAGGTACTGGTTTTAGAAACAAAAGATTTTAAGTATCGAACGGTTGTGCGCAGAGGTATTTGATAACTTGAACATTGTGTAGATTCCTAATATTAAATCTACACTAAGCGTAGAATCCCGTAGTGAGCCGAGTGCTGCATTGGAGCTACAGATGTTCAGTTTTTACTGACAGTTAAAATTTTACCTATACCCACAGTCTTAAATGAACAATTCGTCTATTCATTTAAAACTAAAGGGTCCTTTCCTTAAGAACCTATAAGATAAGTTTTAATAAAGTCGTATAAAATGTCTATTTCGATACTTTGAGTTCACGTCAGTATTCAAGAGTGCTTCAATAAGAGGTAAGTGATTGATTGTTTTCTTTCAGTTACGAAGTGCAGGTTGAGGCGGACGGCCGCCGGCGTGGGCTGGGCCAGCGCGTGCTCAGCGTGCTTGAAAAATTGGCTCACGCGACGCGCATGCGCTGCGTGCGGCTCACTGCGCTCACACACAATCCCTCCGCTTCCGCCTTCTTCAGGGCTTGCGGGTTAGTTGTACAGTAATATTGTCTTCATATATCTCATAAAAATTTCAATGTCGTGAAAGTTAGTATTCTTTAACGCTCTTTTCATAAGGTCGTTGGATCTTCTCATGCTTTTTTATGAACATTGGTTTCATTAGCGACTATTTCATTAACTACCAGGTATTCTTTTGTTTTTATTATCCTTTTGACATCTCTAAGTTACATTTTCTTTCAATATTTATTCTGTCATACAATTTAAAGTTGTAGGTATTTTTTTTACTTCAGTTTCTATTTCATTTGTTACAGTTACAGTCTGGATGACACGAGTCCGTCCATAGAAGAGGCGACGCATTACGAAATACTCAGCAAAGCGACAATGGAAAGTGAAGGAGGAACCGATCCCCCGATAGCTTCTTAGTACATATTATTAGTTGTATTAAAATAAGATCTAAAGAAACATAGAAGTAATTGCACATTCAGATTCTATTTATTTCAATAGTGACTTTTTTAAGTTTAAGTTTTCATTACACCGCCACCTTTGTAGTCGATATGAGATTCTCGGGAATAAATAGCCATAGAGTAATTAGTTCTGTATAAAAAAATAGTCGATAGAGACTGAAATCCTCATTTTCAAATCATAATTATTATGGCAAAATTTTTGAAAATATTATATTGTAGTTAAATTTGTTTCGTCTTTATCTTCTAAAGTTTACCCTTTCTAGTAAAACAGCATCACAAGTACAATTAGATAAATACAATTTAACTTAATATTATTCTGCAATTTGTGACCTCAATAATAAAACAAAAACTTTTTAATTCCTCAAGTAATACTACTTTTAAAAGGACGTAAATAAATAATAGATAAATAAAGATTTCGAGTTAATATTACCTGGTTTTATTTTTATTTAGAGCTCTTTTCCTAAAACGTGGATCTAATGACATATGTTAAATTAAAAAAAAATAGTTTAAAATGTATTTATAACATTTTAATAAAATAAACATTAAGGGGCAGTACTACCAAATTCTCGTAAATTGCCTGATAATAATCAAACAGATAAAATACGTGACGGAAATATAGGACTTTTTTGTTTCACAATTCAAGATACCGATAAATAAGAACCTGGTAGTTAGTAAAAGCGGCAACGTCGCAAGGACGCTTAAAAGATCATATACGGGCAGTTTTGTAAAAAGCTTTATTTTTCATGTTAAGATAAATCTTTCCTATTTTTTGCTAAAAATTTCTTTAAAAAGATTGTATACAATATATGCTAAGTATTAAAAAAAATCACTTATTTATTTTAATATTTGGTTAAAAATAA